GCAGGAATGTCGTTGACGGAAGCACCACTTTCCACTCCGCAACTGTTGGTGAGTTTTCATTCTTTTTTCTTTTTTCTTTTTTCTTTTTTACCAATACAAATTATATTTTTTATTTTTATCATTAATTAGTGTTTGCTTTGAAGATTCACGTCCAAGATGTTAGGTTGAGACAATACATACGATAAAAAAAAAAATCTCATCTGAAACGTCATTTACTGACATTAGTCCAAAAAATAATAAAAATTATGTAGAGTTCTCAATAATTTTAAAATCTAAGTTATATATATTTTTTCTACTTAATTTGAATTATTTATTAAAAAAATATCATTTATATTTGAATTTTTATTATTACAAAAAAATTCTTCCACAACTTGACAATGAAAATGTATTAGAGTTTGAATTTTTCAAAATTGGATTTGAGTTTTTTTTTTTAAACTTTGAGGAATAATTTGGCTTTGAAAACGATATAAATTTGGGAAAGACAAATTCGAACTGAAACTCAGATAGATATGAATCTGATATTTCTTGGATCGTCTCAATGGGTATGGGGGTGTGTCACGCCTGTGTCCTTTTCCAAGTAGACAAAACAACCTTTGGATTGCTTCGAGTACTTTTGTCTTTTTGCCACGTCATTGTTGACTTTTCCATGCCATCTTGTCCACGTAGACATTAATCGTGACATTGCTTTAATTTCCATGTGGTGATTAGATTACAACTTGTTCGCATTCAAGAGTCCATCCCGCAAGGACAGTGACGTGCTTTTATATGCATAACATGCATATATATATATATATATATATAATTCATCAATTATATACGAATGTGACGCCGGGGTAGCCGTTAGGAATAACATTATAGCTTATTTCAAATCTACCAATTAAAATATTATTCTTTACAAACCCATGGTTTTGATGATTGTATATATTTGAAATTGACTATATATGATCTTTAATCAACGAACAAACCACTACGTGGCATAGGGTGACTACCAGGGGTTTTGATTTCGGTACAATTGGATTATTCTCCATCTTCTAAAAAATTATAACCATTCAAATTTTATCATAGATTTAATTCCATTCGGTTTTTTTGTTTGTCTTCGGATTTTCTTGATAAAAATGTATTGTAAAAAATCGATTTTTTCGTTATTTTTTTTAATATTCGAATCCTATTCCGTTTGATTTCATTTTTTATATCTTAAAAAATCATATTTATTATATTTGCCAATTAACGCCTGGTTTTTGTCGTTGTATCCTCTGAAACAGCCGTGGTGGGAGAAAGGTTCTTGGCTCGAGACATAACGTTCGAGAACACGGCCGGACCGTCCAAGCACCAGGCCGTGGCGCTACGAGTTGGCTCGGACTTCTCCGCCTTCTACCAATGCGACGTGCTAGCCTACCAAGACTCTCTCTACGTCCATTCTAACCGTCAGTTCTTCGTGAAGTGCATCATCGCCGGCACCGTAGACTTCATCTTCGGAAACGCAGCCGTCGTCTTACAAGACTGCGACATCCACGCCAGGAGACCCAACTCCGGTCAGAAAAACATGGTCACTGCCCAAGGTCGGACCGACCCGAACCAGAACACAGGGATAGTGATACAGAAATGTCGGATCGGCGCCACGTCAGATCTCCAGGCTGTGAAGGGGAGCTTTCCGACGTATCTTGGCCGTCCATGGAAGGAATACTCACGGACGGTCGTGATGCAGTCCGAGATCTCGGACGTGATTCGACCGGAAGGTTGGCATGAGTGGAACGGTAACTTCGCCTTGGACACTTTGACGTATGGAGAGTACGCGAACACAGGAGCAGGGGCAGGGACCGCAAATAGGGTGACTTGGAAGGGCTTTAAGGTCATTACAAGTGCCACCGAGGCTCAGGAGTTTACGGCCGGCCAGTTTATTGGTGGTGGAAGCTGGTTGTCGTCGACTGGTTTCCCTTTCTCCCTCGGTCTTTGAGTGGAAATAAGAACGACTTAATTTTGGTTAATTTGCTGTTAAAATGTTTAATTATGCGTTAATTGAAGGTTTGAGAGATGTGAGGTTGTTGACGATTAGGCCTATGCATTGTTAGCTAGGCCAAAAAAAATTAAATAAGTAAATATCAACGCTCCAAATCTTTAAATTTTTAATAAAGTTATTAGTAAACATGTTGTCCATATAAAGACTGTTCTTGGGTCGGAGGTTTATCTAGTCAACGCGTTCGGAAGATAGTAGATATGTTCTCCCTTGTATATATATATATATATAAAGTTAAGATGAGATTTAGTACCGGTAGTTTTAGTTTTAGTTGAAGAACAATGTTGGGTTATCGGGTCGTGGAATTGGGTTTTGAAATTGGGCCGAAGTTGACCCAATGGGTCACAGGAAGCCGAGGCTTATAATATAAGCCTAGAGTGTATTGTGTATATGTATATATATATATATATATATATTTTATAGAGGTATAGTTCTCTGATGTCCAAATCATTAAAAAAAATTTAATTTAAAATATATATATATATATATATATATAAAAATGATTAGACCATATATTTGATTTATATTTTTTGTATGCTTTTTGTGCACAAGTGTGGATCATTTTAACCATTGCATATACGAATTGAAGTTACGTTCAAGTATTTATGATGTGTGCATGCTATATCATGCGTTAAACATTAAATTAAACTATGTGTTATACCAAAAAAATGCGTAGAAATCCTTAATTACTGATGATTAAATATTAAATGACGAATTATACAAAAAAAAAAGATATAATGAAAAATAAGGCGAGGTTAGCGCCACTAGATGTGGATTTGAGGGAGATGATTTTGTTCCTCGTTGGACAGTGCATTTAATATGTTTGCAGATGTTATTAAGAAGCCATTACAAAAGGAAATAAAAATATCATTCTATATTTGATTATATGCTTTCATCATAGGCATAAATGAAAATGATTGCTCTTTTACACGATCTCATTTAAATTTTGGATTACAAAGATGTCCAACATTTTCTTTGGTACAAATAAAAGAACATCCTATAATGTTTTTTACAAAAATGCATAATTTTTGTTCCAACTTTTATCTATTTTTTATTCGATGGAATATAACAAAAAAAACTTTGAAATATGATTGATCCTAAATTTTCAAAATAAAATATTTCATGATATTAGTTTTGGCGAAAATTTGATAATATATTTTAAAAAAAAAAATTGTATGAAAAAATTATATGTATATATATATAAGTCTTTATATTATATTATGTAACTTACATTCCAATATGATAATATATATATATATATATATATATATATATATATATATCTCATTCTTTCTAACATTATAGCTCTTTTACACGATCTCATTTAAATTTTGGATTACAAAGATGTCCAACATTTTCTTTGGTACAAATAAAAGAACATCCTATAATGTTTTTTACAAAAATGCATAATTTTTGTTCCAACTTTTATCTATTTTTTATTCGATGGAATATAACAAAAAAAACTTTGAAATATGATTGATCCTAAATTTTCAAAATAAAATATTTCATGATATTAGTTTTGGCGAAAATTTGATAATATATTTTAAAAAAAAAAATTGTATGAAAAAATTATATGTATATATATATAAGTCTTTATATTATATTATGTAACTTACATTCCAATATGATAATGTATATATATATATATATATATATATATATATATATCTAATTCTTTCTAACATTCTAACAATTTTTAACTTCAAGAACATGGTTTCATATAAATAAAAAATTTATTATATTTTATACAATGAAGGGATAAAATCCCTTTGGGAAAAGAGTTTGGACAATGCATGTCTGAAGCAAAATAACGGTCGCGAAGCCGCAATTTCCGGTCGAGTAGCCGAAATATCCCCTATCACTTAGACGCGTATTTTCATGACATGAAAATTTAATATATAACCAAAAAAAAGAGCGTTTGAATTAGGCCCACACGGCCACCAGTTGACTTCTCTACTCTCCAGTCTTCTGTGAGTTGTCCCGCTTCATGCTTATAACGCGTTAACCAGATATAAACCATTCAAATTTATTCCGGTTTAATCTGTTAACCGACTAAAACCGAACCAAAACAATGATTAATACCTTATTATCTGACCTGAATAACAGATGCATGCAATGGTTATACTGAGTATATAACAGGTTAAATGTTGGTATAGGTTGGCATTGCCCGGTTTGAATCTCTTTTCATTTCTTCTTCTTAAACCAAAATTCATCACAAAACTCAAAACAAATAATACCAACCCAATGCACTTGACCGATTATATCTTATGATAGGTTAACTGTATTTATTGTTATTACATCAGTATCTAAACAAAGTTTAATGATCAAATCCATACCATTAGCTCTTTCCTAACCGGGAAGTAAACCAAGCTGAACCAATCTGATAACCGGGATCCATAGTTTCGAATTCGGGGGCAAACTAGGCTGCAAGAGCCACTTGCGGGAGAGCACGTGGCCATATCAACTTCGTCGAATATCGAATACGCAAGTGGCAGAGGTAACTCGGATATTTCAAGATAATGTTACAAAATTTTAATTTCTTTTTTTTTTTTTTTGCATATGATTGGGATGTGGATCAATTATATAGATATCAGACATACGCGGAGAGCAATATTTACGCTGTTAATATAGATATTCAAGGCAATTATTTAATTGATTTAATTAACCATAAGTATATTAGTATCAGTTTTGAAATTATAAATAGGGTCAATATTAGTAACACCTAAAACATAAGGTAATGAACCAACGTATAAGAATCAACAGAATATTGTATTGCCTTTACTGAATTAACCATAAGTGTATTAGTGTCACAATTGAAATTAAATGTAGAGTGATAATAATAACTTAAGGGCATAAAAAAAATTGAAACATGCTATTAGTTATATTATTGAAAAAAATGATTTTAAAAAGTGCGTGCATATATATGAAATTTTAGTATCATTTCGAAACTATAAATTAAGGGTTAATATTAATAACACCTAAAACACAATGAAATGAACCAACTTGTACGAATAAAGACTATACAGATATATATGTGGTTGTGGACAATCTTATAAACGATATTATTTGTATAAAACAAATATCAATAGATCGAATATGAAAATGATGGTAAAACCATGTACTATATAATATGGGGACGGCGTGTCGAGTTTGACCACGACTAATTTGTAATTAATTCATTTAAAACAGTGAACGGTCCAATACCAATACATGGTTTTTTTGGGGGGATAAAGAAAGGAAACTACCAAATGGAATATTTAATTAATTGAATAATCACGGTGATTAGGCGTCAATTATCGGTCTCCACATGGAAATGTATAATTTATTGGCACATTTCACCAAGAAGCATCATAAGAATCAGCCCATCACAATCACACTCATATATTCATTCTCACAACTTTATAAAGTCCACAACACAAAACATAAACACATGGTTCTCTACATCATCACTTTTTGGTAAAACATTAAAACCCACAAAAAAAAAAAGAGAGAGAGAAACAGAAAACAAAACCCTAAATTTCAGAAATCCAAAATTTTTGGGAAAACCCAGAAAAAGCTGTAGCTAGATTTCTTTGGCTATGGATTCTGTGAAGTCCATAAAGGGTTATGGCAAAGTAGACGAAGCCCAGGATTTGGAGTTGAAGAGAAAGACGCGGCGGCGATTGATTTTGATATCGGTCTCCGCCGTCGTTCTTGTCGCCGTGATTATCGCCGGCGTGATCGCCGGCGTCGTCCATTCCCGGAGAAACAACTCGCCCGAGTCGGCACTGACTCCACCTCCAACATTAACACCGGCCGCGTCACTCAGAACTGTCTGCAGTGTGACTCGGTACCCTGCTTCGTGCATCTCTAGCATCTCGAAGCTTCCGTCGTCGAACACGACAGATCCGGAGGTTCTGTTCCGTCTTTCATTGACTGTTGTTGTCAATGAGCTTGCTTCGTTGTCGGATTTGCCGGAGAGGCTCGCCGGGGAGACGGGGGACGATCGAATCAAATCGGCGATAAGGGTGTGCGGAGATCTGATCGAGGAGGCTATCGATCGGCTTAACGACTCTGTTTCCGCCATGGATGTCGGCGATGGACAGCAAATCCTGAACTCCTCGAAGATCGAAGATCTAAAGACATGGTTGAGCGCCGCCGTCACAGACTACGACACGTGCTTCGACGCACTCGACGAACTCGCCTTCAACAAAACAGAGTACGCAAACTCCACAATCGTGAATAGTCTGAAATCGGCCATGAAAAACTCCACCGAGTTCACTAGCAACAGTCTCGCCATCGTTTCCAAGATCCTCAAGGCCCTCGGCGATCTGGGGATCCCGATCCACGGGCGACGGCTGCTCGCTGGAGATGGGTTCCCGGCGTGGGTTGGTCAGGCGGAGCGGCGGCTGCTGCAGGCGGTGGACGTGAGACCGGACGTGACGGTGGCGGCGGACGGATCCGGAGACGTGAAGACGGTGAACGAGGCGGTGGCGAAGGTGCCGAAGAAGAGCAAGACGAGGTTCGTGATCTATGTGAAAGGAGGTACATATGTGGAGAATGTGGTGATGGATAAGAGCATATGGAATGTGATGATTTACGGCGATGGGAAGACGAAGACCATTATTTCCGGAAGCAAGAATTTCATCGACGGTACTCCCACCTACGAAACGGCGACGTTTGGTGAGTCCTCTGCTCTCCACTCTTCATATTATTAGCTTCAGCTAAAAAAAATATATATATAATTCATTTGAAATTTTAGCAAATTGGGTATTTGGTTAATTGTGTTTTCCCCAAATTTGCTAGATTTTGCCCAGATTCTGCTAATTTTAGAAAAAAAACAGGGCTTTGAGTAATTGCCTAGATTCTGCTAATTTCAGATTGGATTTCAATAAAGAAAATGATCAGAATTAGTATTGAAAAATGCCAAAAATATATATCAACTTTGATATGAAGGAAAGACTTAATATATATACATATATAAAGTAACCCAAAAAATGTACTCCGAAGATGATATTATTTGTTATCTAATTTTTAAATTCAATTTCTTTAACAATAATTTTTGCACAAAGTTTGAATTGTTTTTCTCCTAATACATTTATAAATACGCAGCAATACAAGGGAAAGGGTTCATAATGAAGGACATTGGAATCATAAACACGGCAGGAGCGGCTAAGCACCAGGCCGTGGCCTTCCGGTCTGGTTCCGACCTCTCCGTATACTACCGGTGCTCCTTCGACGCTTTCCAAGACACTCTCTACCCTCATTCCAACCGTCAGTTCTACCGCGATTGCGATGTTACAGGTAATATCTAATTATATATACTTATATATGTCTTACTTATATATATAAACCTTAAGAGCAAATCTTAAAATTTGTAATGGTTGTGATCACAGGTACCATCGATTTCATATTTGGTAACGCAGCAGTCGTCTTCCAGAACTGCAACATTCATCCCCGTCAGCCGCTTTCCAACCAGTTCAACACCATTACAGCTCAGGTAAAGACATTACTGCAAATTTTTTACTTATCCTTGAAACGGATCGGGCATTCGAATTTTGGGAGGTAACCGGCTTCGGCCTCACCACTCGGGTATCTCGTCTCGTCTTCGTGACAAAAAGACGGTCGACGAGACTTGTACTCAAACCCGTGACTTAAGTTTTCGCGGGTGAAAAACCCGATCTCGTATTCCTCGACGGCCGCATTCTTGAGTTTTGAATACCCGTCCGATGATATCCGTAGGATGGATTTTCTAAATGATTTTGATCTCTATCCATAATGTCAGGGCAAGAAGGATCCGAACCAAAACTCCGGAATCTCAATTCAGAGATGCACAATCTCGGCCAACGGGAACGTCACCGCCCCTACGTATCTGGGCCGTCCATGGAAGGAATTCTCGACGACGGTCATCATGCAGACGGAGATCGCCGGATTCATCAAGCCAGCTGGATGGATGTCGTGGGTCAGCGGCGTTGACCCGCCGGCAAGTATATTGTACGGCGAGTACAAGAATAGTGGGCCCGGGTCGAGTGTGGCCCAGAGAGTTAAATGGGCCGGGTATAAGCCCGTTATGTCTGACGTGGAGGCCGGGAAGTTTACGGTCGCGTCGTTTCTTCAGGGAGGGGAATGGTTGCCTGGGACGGGAGTGGCGTATCAGCTGTCTTGAGTGATGTAATATTTTGATTTCTAATTGTTTTTCTTTTTTTTTCATTTGACATTGAAAAATACGAGGTATTGTCTTTACTTGTATTTTGCCCCACTTTAATTGTAGTTTTGCGCGTTGTTAATATTCTTTTCAAGATTGAAATAAATGTCCAAGAAATGGACTGCTTTATATATAAATTTAATTTTTCGTTTGCATCGATAATCAAACATTTAAGCAAAATAGATGAAAATATTTAATTGTTGGATTTAATTTAATTTAATTTATTTTGGAGTAGATGTTGAGTTGGGTTATATAGTTACTGAAATTAAAGTTTCTATTATTTACCGTAAGATAAATTAAATATTTTTCTGTGGTAATACAACCTGAATTATCTGGGCCTAATATGGGCCATAAAGCCCATTTCTCAGTTCTATATTCAGCTTAAAAGGAACAGAGGTTTCGTCTCCTCCCACCAACCCAACATCAAATTATTATTATTATTATTATTATTATTATTATTATTATTATTATTATTATTATTATTTCCATAAAAGGGAATGATAGGGAATATTTATCCAAGTAACTCTGCAATAGTTATTTCCTAGAAAGCCCGAATCATTAGCCACAGTCCCATGTGAATCAACTTAATAGCAATAATTACGCGGAGTCCCTGCAATTAAAAATTTTCCAAAACAAGAGATTGTGATTAAACCAGGTCAATGTTGTTAGCTGTGAAGTATGAACTTCCCTTGATTACGTTGTTAATCCAGCTTAATTAAATTCAGATTAATGGCCTAATCAGTGTTTTTCTTTTGTCTGCACGTTGTTATTACTTGTAATGCTAATCCTCATTTGTATCCTAAAACAGTTGATTAATTTTGAAACATAATTCAGTGCTGGAAGCGTGGTTCTCTAACAAAAAAGTAATTTCCTTTTTTCATGAAACAATGTTACCACATGGTAAGAAATTTGACGCAGAAAACAGCAATGGTAAAAACAAAAACAGAATGATGCAAGAGCAGTAAAAACAAATACATCACATTTAATTTCCATTTTAGATTTAATATTACTAAAATTATTTATTTTCTAAAAACAGTCGTTTTATATATCAACTCAAATTTAATTCATCTTAAATTAATTAAAATTCAAAACAATTATATCCGATTAATTTAAAATCTGTTTTGGTCGTACATAATTAATTATATTTGTCAATTTGGCTCCTCTGTATTTGTGAATCAAAATATGTATGTACCCTTGGATGCTATTAAATAAAAAAAAAATGTAAAAACTCCATAGTTTTTGTTAAATCTTCTCACACGATAAAAAAAAATATCCATCCCTATTCTATTTTACTATAAAAATTTGACAAATTCAAAAAAAAAAAAAAATATTTTTTCTTTTTCTTTGCTAATAAAATTGCACTTTTTGGTTATTCTGTAGATTATATCCAAATTTCATTGTCACCTCTTATTGGTTGGGCTGTTTAGGTTATGGACCATTTCATTTTCCTATTTTTTTAACCGAGGTTATGGACCATTTAAAGTAGACTTTTCATTATTTTGTCATAATTAAACCGTAGACCCCATCCCATGCATATACTTGACAACATACTCTCTCATGGTAGGGTTAATACATTACCATTAATCTTAATCGTTTAAACCAATTTATATAAAATTAATAAAATTTAGTTTTAAATTCGATAAAACCATACTGATCTTCTTTAATTTTTTTTTTGTTATTATTAATATTTCTATAATACCTTTTTTAGATCTGTTCGTACACACTCGAAAACATTACAAGGACAAAAATTGATTGGGAGAGACAATTATTTCATGTTCGAGGGAAAACTCTAACACACATTTATTGCTTTACTGCACAAGTGTTTTAGAAAATAAAAATATATTCTCATTTTGATTTAGAAAATTTGCATTATTTTCTGATCCGGCTTCTATAAAGCGATAATCACTTGAAACCCGTCTTCAGACAAACTCATACACACACAGAAAGAGAGAGAGAGAGAGAGAGAGAGAGAGAGAGAGAGAGAGAGAGAGAGAGAGAGAAAGAGAGA